AAGGCAAATGGCAAGCGAAAGAATGGCAACAAGTACATGTGCACCAATTTGTATGCAAATTTTTTCTAATGTTTTATTTTTTTCAACCTGTTAGGCAAACTATATTAATCTTTGCGATTCTCTATTAAAAAATCTTCAATTTATGTAATTTTGAAAATTATTACTTTCGAAAATTTTGTGTTCAAAACAAAAAATTGCAGTTAGACTAATAAAACGGCCATAGAAATTAAATATATTTTAAAGGCAAGACTGAAACTAATCCATAAAATGCTGTTATAATTAAAATCACTATTTATTTATATTTTTAAGAAAAATTTATAATATTTTTATATTTATTTACGCAATATTTAACTAATTAAATCAAAAATTTAATATTGAAAATATTTGCATAAATTTATAAAATATTAAAAGTTTTATAATACATTAAAGTTATTTTTGTTGCAACTATTTTCCCTATATACATTACGAACATTTAAATATTCATGTATGTACATAATATTGCGTTAATTTACGTACTTTTCTTAAAAATGAATAAATAGGCTTGGTTAATTTAAAATTGTTTTATTACTTTCACTATATTACTATATTAATATTTTAATTCATTATTTTTTTATTCTTATTTGTCTTACAATAAAATATGGTCTATATTTTAAATAAAAAAATGTCTATGTCAAATTAAAAAGGGTTTCCAATTAACAAATATTAGGTATACATTTACTTTTTATTTCCCTGTGTTTAAAAAATAATAAACGTTTTATGAATTATTAATTAATAAATTATGAATTTATGGAATAATATGCAAGAAAAAATTTTTATTATTAAATGGACTGCACGAATTTACTACTATATAAGTACATATATATATATATATATATATATATAAAGCATATGCCTCTTGATTTTCATTTTCATATAAACTACTTTTGGTATATACATACATATATAATAACCATTATATATATATAAATATATTATAATATTATACAGTTACAAATAATTTCAAATAAATAATTTTATTACAATGAATTTTCTCATATCAATTTATTTCATTTTATTTATTGTCTGTTATATTTTTTATTATACTAAATTATTTTCATGTAATTTGACATTTGAATTAAATAAGTTCAGGTAGGTAAAATTTATTTTTATGTTATCTATTTAATTAAAAAATTACTTTATATATTTACATATAATTTAATAAATTATTAGAATGTGACATATGTATGTGAATATTGTGCATCTATACCTATTTATTTTCGATTTCGACATAATATGTATGTGTGTACATTATATGTAGGAGTAACATTTTTATTAAACTGATCAATATTATGGCGCAAATAAGAATAGAATCACAAATAATGATTGCTTGTAAATAACGCATAGATGGCGGGCACTACTATTTGAGCACGCCAAATACAACTTTTTCTCTTCATATTGTACAGAATCGAACATTTATTTTTTGTATAATAATTGGTATAGAAATCAAAATAATAATCTATATAAATTTTCTAAAAGCTTCCTTACATAAAGTATAGGAACTAGATTTTATATAAAGGCGTGAAACATATAAATATTTATAATTTTCTCGCCTTGCATCCTATTTCTTAATCGAACTGCGATATTCTAACAGGAACAACAAAGGCTAGAATAACACAATTTTAACTCCAATAAAAGTACTTAAATATTTTTATTATTCCCTCAGAAATGTGAGTATACTAAGTAATACTGAGTACAATCATTGAATTTTTTGAATTTAGTACATTTCATATATGATATACAATAAATTTCCAAAATCATGCAGCAGGTACACAACGCATATACAAAAATTACATTACAAATACATACATTTATACTAACTATAATAAACGAAAAGTTTAAAATATCACAAATCATATAATATTAATTTATTTTGATTTATTTCCCTCTGTATTTTCGAAGAGGACCTTTAAAATTAATAGCGGTGAAATAACAATTTAAAAAAAAAATTAATTTAACAGTAATTGTTTAACTTCAAAGTTAAATTACTTTATCTCACAGTAAATACTATATACACACATATACAATATATAAAATATGTGAGTGAAATTAAAGAATAATCTGGTCCTTCCAGTGTTACAACATGACTTTAAGGTAAAAAACAAATAAAAAAAAACGTGTGAAAATACATAAAAAAATTTTTTTTCATTTTATTTTGATTCCTTATTTTCATATTTCTTATTTCATTTCAGATTTTATCATTGAAAACATTTTTATAATTTTTGATATAACCAATAACTCCTACCAGAATTCATATTTATATGTTATTATGTAGATACATACAAATTACAAATTGATTCAATTAAATATTTTTTTTTCTGCTCCTAAATATACAGAGTATAATATTATGATTCTCTTGTAAACTCTGATCGCTATCACGTGTGTTCGACTGAATATACCACCTACCTATACATAATTACATTATATATTCGCATCCATACGTATATAACATAACTGTACACAGAGACGTAACTTCTTTTTGCTTATAAATATTCAAGTAACCTATTTATGTTTTTTTCATCATTATTATGTCCCTGAAAATACATAATACAATAGAAAGCCTATAATTTATTATTGAATTCGACCTAAATTGTTGAGTTTTGTATACATATGTACATGTAGCTGCTGAATTGTATTACATACATTTTTAGTATAATGCTCAGAAATTTCAACAAAAAATGAGGAAATTAAATAAATACATACATAAATTTTTTGAAGAAAATTGAAAACAAAAAAGGAAGTTTTATCTTTTGTAACCACATAACATTTGTGTACATATTTTGTCTTCTGAATTTAATTTAATGCATAACGTGCTTGAAATATTAATTTTATGTCCAGTGTTCATGATCATCAGAACACACTTTATATACAATACAAAAACAAAACATGTATACCTATAGCAAATACATAATTTCATTTTCTATCAACTACAATACATAATTCTTATATATTAACAAAAATTCTTTTTTTAATGTAATCATTTCATGTACTCGAATAAAACAGGGTGATTTTTTAAAAGTTTGGATTTTCAATTTAAACAGACGAAAATTAATTTTTTAAACACAATTTTGTGTGAAAATATTGACCACAACTATTACGTTATTTAGATCTGGTATTCAGGTTGTCTACAATATCGTGATCAGCACTATGCTCCTCCCAGGAGAGGAGTAGGATAATAAAAAATTTATAACCCATTACACGTTCTATATTTTCCAAAGTAATCGATGTCTGATGCTCGATGTAAATAAAAGATTTCCCCACTAAAAAAAGTATAAAAATATTTTTTAATTTCACATACTCCAAAAAGAAATTATTTAAGAAAGTGTCAAATTGCATAAACTCGGGTGCCAATTGACAATTTCTCAAACATTAAATTCGATTTGACGTCGAAATTAATTCTTGACTATAAATGTATTTTAAATAAGTATTTCTTAAAATATATAATAATTTTCAAGTGTTCCCTCTACTACGATGAAAACTTTGAAAATGTATACATTAAAGGATCAAATTTTGAGTCGATTTGACGTTAGCAATTGTAACAATTTACGCGTAATTATTGCAAATATGAAATTACAAAAAACCGAATAGTAAAAAAATCACCCATTAATTAATGTATGTATGGAGACATTTATAACAATTATATATTTATTATAAAGTAAGAACTGTTTGAGTGAAATTTTTTCCTTTGTATATATACTAACTAGTTCTTTAAAAATTCTGTACTAATAATATATCTGTATAAATATATACGAATAAAATCAACATTAAATTTAAATGGCAAATAAAAACAAAAATAAATAAATTATATATGAAATTAGATATCAAATATCAACTTAGATTTTCCATTCGCTTTCAATATCTCTACAATATGCAATATTCAAATATTTTAGTATATAAAGTTGTTATTAAACCTGTTTATTATTCTATATAATATATGATGAAAATTTTTTAAATACACAAGTAGTAGACAAAAGAATTAAATATATAAGGAATCTTTTATAAAATTTTCGAATGACACAAAATATATAATATGCATATAGACGAAATTTTTAAAAAATTTTGAAAATTGTTTTATCCAATTTAATAAATTCATTGCGAAGTATTGAATTTCTTTGATATACAAATTGAAATTTTTTTTGTAGGAGGGAGCGCTTTGCTTGAACTAAGAGAGTTTTGCTTGAAGTGAGTGTCTAATATATTATAAAGTATACTCGTATTTTGTTTTTAGTGTTCAAATGTCAATTTAATAAAAAAGGACAATTTAAATATCCTAATTAAATGCTAAAATAACTTCCAAAACACAAGATCCATCTGCTGTATATATTATAAATAGTATTTTTACATTTATTACATCTCATCCAAAAAAAACGTAACATATAACAGCATAGATCGCTAAATAACGCATTTGGCAACTCATATGGAGTTTGAACATGTAACTATGGAACTCAAATATTATTTCCTATGAGTCTGATTGTTGCCAATGTAAAATATTATTTAGATTTTGGCATTTTATTCATATTTTAAGATATTTTGTATGATTAAAATTCAAAATTAATAGCAAAAGAAATTTGATTTTCCGATTTATTTAAATATTCCATTGGTGAAACAATTTTGAACTTATATATACACTACTCCCAACACAATATGTGTAATAATACACTATTATGCATCTTAATTTAATTTTTAATCTTAAATGTAAAAAAAAATTTTATTAAAAACAGCCGAAAACAGAAATTTCAAAATCATTCAATTATATAATTAAATTTTTATACTCAATTATAACAAAGCACGAAAATATTTAATATTTTCCTGCTTTGTTATATAATTGAGCACGAAAACATATTTAAATATTTTCATATACAAGTGCATATACAAGTGTTATACGATACAATAAATTAATACAAGTGATATATAAACAAAACCATTAATGTATAAGTAATTTAAAATATAAACCAAATACTTACATAATCAAACTTTTATACTTTTATTAAACAATGATAAAAAAAAATTAAAATTTAACTTTTATAAAATTTGTTATTTTTTAATTTCTCTTTGTAAATTTAAAAAATCTACAAATTAACTATATAGAAAAATATAACCAAAATCCACAAATAAATAGCATAGCCTCAATAATTCAAAAACAAATATAAAACAATATAATTAGTTTAGTGAAAAAATACACAAAATAATTTTTGCATTCGATTTTATTCTTAACTGTTGTTGCTTTGTTTCGTTTTTAACTTGACAGTGAAATTATAGAAATTTTAAAGTCATTTTTTTGAATTTTTTTTTGTTATTTTTTTCTACTTTTTAATATGTTATTGTAATTGTTACACTTTTTCTATTAAAAAATTAAAAAAAAAAATAAAGAATTAGAATTACAACAAATTTTTGTGAATGAAAATTTTTTTTCCTATAATTGTGTTACGATGGAAACTCTGTATTATTTTTCATATTAACAGTAAATTATTTAATTTGTTCGTATATATGCTGCACTGATTGACCGAAAACAAGATCTTTGTTTCTTTTCACATTACAATTAAAATAATTTTTTAATATATAATTAGAACATTAGTAATAGAAAATTAATTAAAATAATTATTTGTAAAATAAAATTAATAAGAATTGAATTTTTTATTATATTAAATCTCTTTTAGATGTAATTTTCATAAGCTGTATAATTTATAAATTTAATAAAATTATTGACTAATTAAAACAAATAATAATTGCACTTGTGATATTTTAAAATAATTTTATAAAAGTTTCAAAAATATTTTTCCACCAAAAATTTGCGCGACCAAAAAACAAAATAAAAATAAAACTATATTAAATTCTTGATCAAAATTCAACCGTAACTTATAACGTTCAATTTTAAACTGAAAAAATATCATTCCTTACTGATTGATAATATAATATTATAAAAAGAAGGAATTAAAATATGCAAGTGGTAAAAAATAAAATTGCAAGAAAAAGAGTATAAAACACAAAAAAAAAAATACTAAAATGTTAAAACTGGGTACAACAAGCAATGTCACACATTGAATTAGTTTTGTTATAATATACAAACATTTATCCACACAGTAATACATATTATATACAAAATATATATTTCTGTATAGACGCAACATGCTTATAAGTAGTTAAAACAAAAAAAAATATTAAAAAAATCTACACTGTCTCTAACACTATTATAGTAACAGGAAGCATCTTTTATAAAAAATATATAATATACGTCGCGAATGAACTTACATATATATGTGTATGTAGGTAAGTAGGTGTACCTATAAAATATTACATATAAGAAATTAAATAATTTAATGTAAAAAAATAGGAACTTTTTTGATTTGTAATAATTTGATTATAATTTGGCAATAATAATTATAGTAAACGGTCACACCCCCCCACCCCCCCCCCCCCCTCTCTGATGAATGCGAAAAACTTGAAAGGAGAAGTCTCACCTGGTTTGTGCCTAACCATATGAGACCACAACTCTCAGAAGCTCCCTAACCTATCGAAACCCTGGAAGAGCCTTCTAACGCTCCATTCGCCGCCTTTCTATTTCCTTCTTTAATTTTTAACTAGCCGTATGTGGTTGGATTTCATAGAACAGCTGTGAGAAATCACACCTGGTTTCTGTCCAACCCTATGTTCATCTTAAAGCGACCCTGGTCGTAGTGTTTCAGAAGCTCCCTAGCCCGTCGAAGTCCCGGTAGAGCCCTATAGTCCTTCGATCGGCCTCTCTTCTTTTCGTTTATGAATTCGTTTATTCACGAACGGTATATAGTTCGACTCCGCAGAAGGGCTTCAACTGCTCACTCTCTTTCTCGTCAATACAGCCCATCTTCATTGCACTCAGCACAGTGTGACCCAGTTGAAATTCAGCAAATGAATTTTGAGTTCTGATGGCAGCCTGATTGTCCGACATAATCAAGATTTGCTGTGATTAAAATTACTTTTTACAAAACTTAAATATGAGTTAAAATTGGTATATTTTTATATAGAATATTTATAGTACAATAGTTTGGCTTAGCTAAAATTTGAATTTAGATAAATATGTATATATTAAAGAAATTTTAAATATCACTAATATCCTAATTAGCCGTTGTCTAATATGTGAGTGTAAATTCAACCGCAATTCTAAATTTTTTAACAAAATTTTTGCGGATTAATATGAAAAAATATTAATTTTCGTATTATCTATATTTTGTTAGTTGCGTCATTGAGGCAAATGAAAAATTGGACATGATCTTTTGGAACCTCCTTTAAAAGCCTGGTGTATATCACTATAAGAAATGATATAAGGTTTTTAAATTTCTTTAGCAAAAAAGAAAAGCAATGAACTATTTTTGTTTGTCTTTTATGAACTACCTTGTTATTGGTTAAACTATAAAAAAGCACATCTCTTTAATAACATACTCTTAATAATCTATATTAAGTGTTAACATATACATATATTTATATTAAAAAATTAAATTAAAAAAATTGTTTTTTTTTTTTTTTTTGTGTTTAATTCATTGATTTATTCATTATGTTACAATTTTAAAGTAAAAGAGTATAGACACAATCACCTATCGAATGCAAATTATGAGGTGATAAGAAATTAATGCCATATGTCGCATATAACAATCGAATCACTCAAAAAGTCTAACAGAAATAGAAATACGACATGTGATCGTTTTCACATTTTATCATCACGTCGCAATCATGTCTGAGACTAACAGAATGAGAAAATTATGTCTACTAGCTATTGACATTTTGTCTATTTTCTATGACTTTCAAAAGTCTATATTTTTTTTTTTTGTAATTCTTCGCGCGACAAAACTTCATGAAGATATGCTGATGTAAACTATGAAAATATTATTAATTATAAATATGAAAAAGGAAAGTTAAATTGAAAATAATAAAATTTGTATTATAGCAAGAATAAAATGTTACATACCTACATATATGTATATATTTGCGTTACAGTATTTTCAGCAAACAAATTATTGTTTCATTCGGGCAAATTATGTTGCATTGCGAGTAATCTATAATTCGATCTGTTTTCGATTCGTTCATTCTGTTTTCATTTCGTTATAAGTTTGGAATTTGGTTTAATTCTCAGAATAAAAATTTAAGTAATTACATTTGCTCAACAATCTCTCAAATTAAAAAAGAATATTTATTTTAACTCTGTATTTGCTCTCGCCTATTTTAACATCAAATTAATTCATAAACGTACGGCTTGTATCTGTTCTAAATTTTTATTATATACTCGTACTTTTAGGCTAAAATGAAAATTAAATAATTAGGTAATGGCAAAAGTAAACACATATATTTTAATCTATATAATTTTTAATGAGAATTGCGTACATATTAACACATACGGAATTCTTGTGAAAAATTATAACAATTTTGTTTCAATCGCATGCCATCATTCAATAGAAAATTGATTTATGTATGTATGTATATAGAAATTAAAGCCTAAAGTGATAATGACTACAATTTATAATCCTGTTCTTTATGTTCTTTTTTTTTACTACGTTATTAAATTTCCTTTTCTCTTAGTTTTAATAATTGCACATATTTATTATGAGTCAACTAGATATGTATACTATATAATTAAATAGTAATAAGGTGTCGCGAATAACATGATTTTCTTAATGTATTTTACACATAATAGTTATATATGTGACACTATAAAATAAACACTCTTAATTTAATTGATATTTTGTATGGACTGTGAAAATTGTATTAAATAAATAATAAGAAAATTAATAATTTTATAGTAGGATAATTGTAAAAAAAGGTATATAGATGCACAGGACCACCCATATTTTGAGAGACGATTTTTTTTTTCGTCGGTAAGGAAATTTAATCCATTTTCAAATTTGAAATAGGAAAAATATTTAAAAATTCTACATGAAAATAAATACAGAAACGCGAAATATATGTATAAGAATTCCACATAAAAATTAAAAATAAAATGTAGGGACGCGACCGGACACTATAGAGTACACTAAGGTGCTTAGGCCAATTTTACTACTGGATCTCGCCTGTTTACTTCCATATTCGAAGCAATCCTTAATTTCTTAAAAAAAGATGCGCTAAGTACCTTTCCAGGTAGTGTTTATAAGAAATAAGTCACTATATTCCCTCCTCTTCTTTGCCATAGCAATCTCTACACAGATCGTCAATCAGACAATGTTCGGTTAAAACCCCAATCATTGCCCTTTATAAACTAAGATGGCATTATAACATTTACATTTACAACGAAAATAATAAAAATGATAACATTATTGTTTTAACTTCCAAAATTCACTATAATGCGGCGTTGTACTACTCAGTTTACCAATTCACACACTAATAAACCAAATTGTGTATTAATTTATCAATTCATAATAACGTATTACTTCCTTGAAACTCAAGGATTATAATTATATGTTAAACATAATTACACTCCACAGTTGTATATTCACTACATTTATATGTTTATAAGCACTCCACACCATAATTATACACTAGAATTGTCTTATTTATCATTGGATTCAGTATTAAACAAGAACAATGATAATTAAAATTAACTATGACATCTATAGTATTGAAATTTAATTAAAATTATAAGATGGTATGTCTGTTTTTTTTTTGTTTACAACATATATTTTACAAATGATTTGTAACTAACAAAATTTCACTTGTTTTGATTTTATAAGTAATAAAAATAAAAAACATTTGAAATTTCCATTATAAAGATCAATTATTTTATTAAGATGAAAGCAAAATTTTCAAATAGTACGAAATTTACTTAAATTAAAATTCATGAGGTATTTATCAGATAAGTACACTTAGTATACACATAAATAATACACATATATGTATGTATATAATAAAAAAAAGTAACATAGTCCATTCGCATAATATTTTGTACCTTAATTATATTTTACGTAAATAAAATACAAAAATTCAAAAAGAAAATGAAAATCTATATGAAGAAGTAGAACAAAAAATCGAAAATTTACGAAATTTAACAAAAGTTTTTTAATATTATTCACAAGTTAATATTTAGATTTTGTAGTATACGCACGCGTAATATAGTAGTAGCAATAATTCAATGTTGCCATCAT